ATCCTCCCAAAGTTGGTAAAATGAGGACCCAGATTGTTGGGGGCAAGAGGCTGACTCTGTAATCCGCTTAGAGAGGGCTGTAAAAGCATTGTGAAGTGGTATATATGTCTAAGTGCTCCATCCATCCATCCATCCATCCATCCATCCATCCATCCATCCATCCATCCATCCAACCATCCATCCATCTACCAGCCATAGTGTTACAGTGGTTGAAATGCGGTATTGCAGGCTAATTCTACTGACTGCCAGCAGTTCGATTCTCACCAGGCTCAAAGTTGACTCAGCCTTCCATCCTTCCGAGTTGGGTCAAATGAGAGCCAGATTGTTGGGGGCAACAAGCTGACTCTGCAAACCACTTAGAGAGGGCTGTAAAATCACTGTGAGGTGGTATATAAGTCTAAGAGCTATAGCTATTTTCAGGTTAGGAATGATTGTAAGTCATGGCAACGGCAGATCACGCTATCCCTTTTAAGCTTTCCCGCCTACCTTTTCTTGATGGGTGAGATAGTACCGAAACTTCCACACCAAGTCCTGTTCTTCGTACGTTAGTTGCTTTGTAGGTGGGTAACTCACGATGATCTAAAACAAAGACAAAACAAACAAAACACAAAACAGTAAATATTGATGGACTGGGGCTCGGGGGGAGGCAAAGTAACAGGAGCTCACTCCGTTATGCAGCGCTAGGGATTCGAACCGACGAACCGCTGACCTTTGTGATCAACAAGCTCAGTGTCTTAACCACTGAGCCACTGCGTCCCTATAAATAAAGAATAATTCAACCCTTTTAAGGCATAACTTACATTCAATTGATCTCGAGTAGTAGCATTGGGTTTAAGGTCATGATCCGAAGGGCCGCTTCTTAAGCTCCTGGCAAGCTTGTGGTGCTTGCTTTCCACCAAATTCTCCTTTGAAAATAATAATTATAAAATGGATCAGTTTCAAAATCAATTGCCATTACCTGTGTACGATGTGCTCTGCTCTGAACTGGCAGAAGCTGGGAAGACCCAGAATTTTATGCAAGACCACGAACAAATTAATTGTGAGGCTTCAACCGTTCAGGGAAGACGAGGGAGGAAGGAAAGAAGGAAGGAAGGGACGGAAGGAGGAAATTGAAATGATAGGATAGGGTAGAGGAAACTAATCGGAAAGGAGAAGGGGAAGGAACGAAGGAAGGAGGGGAAGAAGTTGAAATGATAGGGTAGGGATAAAAAGAATGAGAAAGGAGAAGAGGAAGGAGGGAGGGAGGAAGGAAGGGANCTTGTCTCCTTTTGATGTGTGATTGTAAATCCCAATACAATCATCTAAGTATTTTTCTTTTTCAATCTCTTTTTCTTCTGTAATATCTTCTTGTTCTTCATTTAGTCCCTTTTCTTTCTTCTTTTCTCCTTCTCCTTGTTCTAGTTGTTCCCTTTGAGTTCCCACTGTTTTTTCCCCATTTAGCATTTCACGTACATTTTTTAACATGTCAAGTAGTTTGTTATACATCCAAAATTCCAGTGTCTGCTTAGTTAATTTAACAAAATGTTTAAACTTTTTCTGCTATATCACATTTACTTAAAGTTCATTCATTGGTTTCTTTTCTTCTTTCTTATTTCCAATTTCTAAAGTCCAGTTCCATTTTTATTTTATTTTGCCTTTTCTCTTCCACCAAAATAGTAAGTCCAATCCACAACACTGTTATAAAAATAAATCCTCCTTGTTGTTTCCTACCACTTCAAAGTGTCTTTATCTTGCTACAGTCACAGTCAAGTCTACATCTGTACTTTCCTCTGTTATTTTCTACTGAGTCTTGTACTATCCTCTTTTCACCAGTAGATGTCTCCGCCTCCGCAATATGCAATGTGTTCTAGTCCGCTAGCTGTCAAAAGCTGTCAAAATCCATATTTAATCTGCAAAAAATAGAAAAAGGTGGAAAAAGAAAGAAAGGAATTTCCCCCAAAGTTTTTTTTTTATTATTTTTAATGTTTCCAAATCCAAATTTGGGAATAAAAATCTTCTAGGGCTTTCCATTTTAATCTCCGCCCTTTCTTTTTTTCTCTGTTAAATCCCCCATCTGCCGGATAGCCCCTAATTCTGGGTCTCTTTTTTAATCCAATTTTAAAGTTTCTTTACCTTGGGTTGATCATTTTTTCACCCAGGTCCAACACTTTGTTCCACGACCGCTCCTGCTCAAGTAGCTTGGTCCGGTTGCCCCAACTTTGAAGCAGCCATTTGTATGGCCACTGCCACTTCTGCTGTCAGTTTGAAGAACTTTATCTCTGACTTTTCAAGGAACTGCCATTTCCTGTTTGGTCATTGAGATGTTTCTTCATTTTTGCCTGTTCCTTCAGAACAGTTCTGACCCGAAAATCACTAGCAGTGGCTAGTCTGATTCAGTTTTTACAGAGCCGATCAGACCTCCACTATTTCCCAACCGGTCTCGTCACGGCGTTTCCAGCTTTTCTCCCTATGCCACCATGCTCTCTGAAATGAGTTTATAGGTAGATGCGGCAAGAATCCAGGCTGTGCCATCCTCCATTCTGTGAGCACCTCCAGGATCTCAGCTGCAGCCTCTCAGCCCTCTGCTTACTCAAGGAACAAAGAAAGCAGGAAAGACCTCAGAGTCCTGCATGAATACGGGGAAACAACACAGGGTGAAGGAAACGGACTCCATCCACTGCTTCATTGAAAGGCAGCACCCGTACTGCAAAGGGGGGGAAAGAAAACTTCCTATTCACTACTCGTCATCTCTCATCCTACCATTTCCCTTTTTACAACAGATGGAAAATGGAGTTTAACTTTGGGCAGAGGGGCACATGACATGGATCTTGTAACTTGTTAACTAACATAGTTAGCTTGTATTTTAATTTGACTTATTTTCTGTCTTTTAAAACGATGTTCAGGCTCATTACAGACTGGAATGTAGGAATAGCCTTCGACATTGCTAACCGGGGAAGATAAACTGGCTGGAAATTAGCTCCGGATAAGAAAAAAGTTTGTCCATACAAATTGGGGTCTGGTTTATCTCTTTCTTGAACTATAAGCAACTGTGTTCCTTTACATGTATGCCCCTTCTCATGTCAGACCTCAATTTAATGAATGTGTGATATTATGGGATGGAAATACGTAACATGTTTGAGTACATGTAACTGATTTCCTATGCAAAGGTTGCTTTTATCCTGTCCAATCAACTTTCCCCTTTCATTTTTCTTTGTTGTGCCAACGATAAAAAGGAATGTAAGAGGGG